CAAACGCTCAGGCACGAAAATTCAGGTCTTTGGTAAATCAACGAGTCAGGGATGACTCGTAACCAAGGCCCAAGGCATGCCCAGCGGCATATGTGACAGCTTTCAACAAATCACCGACTCCTTCCTCCGTGCGGGAGCGAAACGCGCGCGCGTCAGTATACCCACACTCCAACAATCCGTTGCCAATGGCGGAATTAACTTCCTCAACATCCGCCTCCGAAACATGGCCATCGCAGCCATGACCCTCAAATCCCACCTCCTCCCAGCTCCCCTGCGCCCAGTCTGGAGCTTCGTCCTCGACACGATCCTTCCCCTCCACGCCAGCAGCGCCGACAGCTCAGTGGCTAAGAAAGCCCGCACCCACCTCTTCCTTCAAACCTGGTCTGTCCCGACGGCTCGCAGCTCCCTCCCAAGAGACATCGCTGACATGCTAAAAGTCGCCCGTAACTGGGACGTCCATATCCAAGCCCTCCTCCCTCAGAGCGAACTCAGGTTGGCCATGCCGGCCTGGTACCACCTCGGAGCCGCGAAGCCGCGACGCGCCCGCTACACCAGCGATGAAGCGAAGTGCCTGCGCAAACGGCACCGCGTTCGAACCATCCAAGACCTCCTTGCTGTCACCGAGCGCCTACACGCCAACATGCCGAACAGACCCCGAGGCCACGCCAACAACAGAAGATGCCGCTGCCCCTTCTGCGACCGCGACCGTGCCGCTCCGACCAACTGCGAGAACCCGAACGCATGCACTAAAGCGGCGCTCATTGTCCTGCGCGAACTCACGACCACCAAATGGAACCCAGCCCCCGCGAGAAAACCGGACGATACGGAATACGCGCCCCTGCCTGTAGTCATACCCGACACGGCCCCACAGCGCTTCTACTTCAACCCCTCAGTGCTGTCTCCACCCGATCCAGGACAGAACTTCCGCATCTTCTCCTCCCAGGATACTCCCCTTCCTATCGCGTCCGCGCGACCCCGCGTGCCCCTACCCCCGACCTTCAACAACGTACACATAATACTCTCAAGCTCTCACAACGCCCTAGACGTCCGCGAAGTACGATGTGCTATACGATACCCACAGAATCCCCCCCTCCTCCCTCCAGCTACAAACCCCACCCGCCTCGCTTTTCTCGACCACCCAGTCGTGCGGTCCGAAGCTGAAGGTATTCTCTACTGCATTCTGTTCGCACTCCAGTCCCTCCCAGCCGACGCAGACATCACGTTCCATATCCCTCACATAAACATCATATCTATCCTCTCGTCCAAAATAAGCTATTATGAGGACCGTGATTGGTCTATCCCCTCTATGTCCCGCGACCTGTGGATAACCGTTGTCTCACACCTACGCTCCCGCCCCTCGACCATCGCCTTCGCCCCATCCACGCCGATGCCCCTCTTCGTTAAGAACCTACCCATCACATCCTTCGACGCTGTCCTCCGACGCAATGACCCGCTACCTTTTGCCCCCATCCCTGGGTTCGTCCTCACAGGCAGACCCCTCCACCTCGCGACGCAGTCCTCCCTCTACCGCGTGATGCGCGACTCTCTCTCGACCCGAGCTAGACGCGCGACAGACATTCACACCGCCATTACTCGCCACGCGGTCTTTGCACACAATGGCTCTTTCCCCGAACCACGTCAGGTTTGGAAATCGCTACGACACAAAGATAGTTCCCGTAAAATCCACGATTTTCTCTTTCACTGCATGCATAACGCCTACTATGTTGGCGCCTACTGGGACAACATCCCTAACTATACACACCTCGGGATATGCACGAAGTGCGGCGTCACGGATTCGCTAGAACACATCCTATGCGAATGTGACTCGCCCGGCCAGAAACTGATCTGGCGTCTTGCGAAGGACCTTCTCGCTCGCAAGATCTCCAACACCCCTGATCCGTCCCTCGGCACCCTCCTCGGCCTCCACCTCCTCATCATCAAAGCGAAAACCAACTTCAGCGACGATGGCGCCAAACGCCTCTTCCACATTGTCTACGGCGAATCAGCACAGCTCATCTGGGCCATACGCTGCCGTAGGGTGATTGATGAACTCCCCGACTACTCCGACAACGAGATATACTCTACGTGGTGCCGCCGTATCTCTCGCCGTTTGCACCTAGACCAAGCCATGACCCACCCCAAATATGGCCGGGCTGCCCTACCCCGTAAAGTCGTCCTAGCGACCTGGAGCTCTACCTTAACCGACGAACGGCTCCTACCTGATGATTGGATCAGATACAAAGGGTCTTTAGTGAGTATACGGTTCCCTCAGCTTCGCCAGCCGCGAAGGCGACCGGAGCGCTAACCGGTAACCGGAGTCTCACACCCAGTGCGTAATAGCATTTTTTCCCTGGAGACTCTGATCCTCGACCATGTCATCCGCGACTCGAACCCCAGTCGCACAAACCCAACAAATGAAGCTTGCAGGGCCAGTCGTTAGAAGGCTGCTGCTAGTGGATGTTCCTCCAAAAAAAAAAAAAAAAAAAAAAA